AGCTTCTTTGAAAAGAATTAGGGGAAAAGTAAGAAAATAAAGCCATCCATCTTTTTAATTAGAATATCTCCACTTTTCTTACAACTACAAGCTGCTCTCCATTAAGGGAAACGTAAATACTTGATTTAATTAATATCATATTAAGTAATTAAAATATATTAGCATAAAAGTATTAAGTAATTAGTCATTAGTTAGAAGCTTAAATTTCTTAATTAAAAATGGGTTTAAGCTAATATCTAATCAAAATTTATTTTTAAGCTTCGTTTGAAAAGGCTTTTTTATTGCTTCTTAAAGCAATTTTTTAATACAAATATTTTAATTTTTATACTTAAAAAATTATTTTAAAAAACAGTAAGAAAAACATCCCAAACGAAACTTCAACTGAACACGCACTCTCCAACACTTTCTTTACCTCGAAAAAAGATTGAAATTAAAGTTGAAAATGAAACAAAGCTTAGTTATATGGTCATAAAGTTTATGATTTCTCTAATAATGACATCAAAGTCAGAAATCAATGATTCATTTAAAATAAAATCTGTGATAGTTTTTAATTGATCTAAATTATATATGAATGAGCTTAAAAATTATTAATTTTTTTAGATTAATATTATATATAAAAAATTATATTATATTATTATCTTAATATTAATTCAATAATGTTTTAGCTAATCTTAATAAAATTCATATCAAAATATTCTAATATAATTTTTTTTCTACTTATAAACTTAGATGAACTTCTATTATTAAAAACCAAAATATAAAAATAAATAACTCTTATTCTCTTGATCTATAATTAAGTGAGTTCTTCATACCTAAAGCATTGACATTTCGCGTTATTTAAAATTTTCTTTTCAAAAACAGTGGTGATTAACATGAAAAATAAGCTTTTATGTAAGGAGAATAAGATTTATTCATGCACGTGCAAATATTAAATTTAGGCTTCATTTGTGATAGCTTTTTTATTACTTTCTAAATCAATTTTCTAGTACAAAATTTTAATTAAATTTTTTTTTGTGCTAAAAAATAGTTTTAAAAAGCAGTAAGAAAGTTGTCACAAATAAAATCTTAGGCTTCGTTTGGGATTGCTTTCTTCATGCTTCTTAAAGCGGCTTTTTAGTACAAAAATTAATTTTTTTTGCACTAGAAAGCCGCTTTAAGAAGCAGTAAGAAAGCAGTTCGAAACAAAATCTTAGACTTCATTTGGTACGGCTTTCTTTCTACTTCTTAAAATAACTTTCTAGTATAAAAATTTTAATTTTTCAATTAAAAAACTACTTTAAAAATCAATAAAAAAATTTCCACTAATTTAAAATATATTAAATCCAAGAGAAGCCATCAACAGTTCTATATATTCTTAAGCTTTAATTTTGACTTCAAAATTTATTCAACTATTGATGATCAACAAACATACATAAATATTGTAACTTTTAAAAAATCACTTATAATCGCGTCTATAATTATTTTAAATATGCGTTCTAAAATCTGTCCCTCCATCTCCATAAGATTGAATACATATGGCTCAACACCCTCCAGAAATAAATAGGATATCATATTTAATTATAAAAGACAAAAAAAAAACTAGCTAAAAAAATAAATTTAAAATTATTTATGAAAGACAAATTATTATATATATAATTATTTAGGCTATGAGAAAGTTACTGCTCCATCCTTGACTAGTTGTGGCGTGCTTTAGATCATTAGGTCTTTAGACCGAACCGAAGTGAAGGGGTCAACAAAGCTAAACTAAAAATGGACCGGGCACGGTTCATTGTCGGGAAGAAGGGCCCACCACTGAACCCGACCGTTGTCGTGGAGCAAACTATAGGTGGATTCACCGGATTCCGATTTTGATCTGTACCTAATCCGCAGGTTAACCTGTCCGGATTTGCAATCACATGGAGGGTACAGATCTTTTTTTTTTATTTTTTATTTTTTTTATTTTTATTTTAGGCCTCTGTTCTGTGCCAGCACAGTAGTAGGATTCTTTGAGAAAAATCAACAAGATTGTAGAGAAATGCCGAATACAGAGTGTGTGATGGGCGTCGATTCAAGATTTTTTATTCGTTTTTTTTTTGTATTATTTTATAATAGAAAGATTTTTTATGTCTCTAAAATTGAATTTTGATTGATTGTTTTTTATAAATACTTATTCAATAAAGGGGTGTCACTTTTGGGTCATGGATCGAATTCGGAACTAATCCGGTATTATTTGGGTCAATCTGAAGCCAACCTGTTTTTGGGACCTGAACCTGAATCTACATGGATTTCACTCAAAGGGGAGGAGATCAGCGGTAGAGAGTACGTTTCGAAGGGTTCGTGCAGTTTGCAGAAGGGCAATAGGAGACAATTTTTTTAGATAATTTTTTATTATTTTAATTTGTAAGTAGTAATTATAGTTTTATTCAACAATTTTTTTTTTTAATTTTCTCTTTGCTTTTTATAAAATTTAATGAAGAAAAGTTAATTTTTAAAATAAGTATTATTAAATTATTTTTCTCACAAGTAACTTAATAAAAAATTATAACTATCTCAAACAGATCCTTAATCATGATTTTATTGAATCAATAAAAATAGCATTTCTCATGATATTTATAGATTTTCATCTTTATAGATATTTAAATCAATTTCGATGATTCTCAAATATTTTTCAACTTTCGAGATTAAATTATGGATTTGGTAGTTTCAATGGCTTATATATATTTTTTCCCTTTTCATATCTTATTTTTATTTATCAATAAAATCGATGATTCACTCATTTTTCAATAAAATGCGAACAAATGTGGTTATGATTGGCAAAAATTTAAAAAATAATTTCTAAACTTTATTTAATATGGAATATTATCTTTAAATTATTCTGTAATTTAGTACATTATGGAAATTTTATCTCTATTTTAAATAAATTAGCTTTCACCTTCTTTCATCTGAAATTTAATTTCATCACTGGATAAGCACTAAATAAATCAAAATATTTTTCTTTGTCAAATAAATGAAAGAAGTTACAGCCCATCGCCTAGCGAAAGAGATTATTTGGTGCTATCATTGCAATAGTTAAATTCCCAGCTAGCTTTAGGTTTAGATCTCATTAATTTAAGGATATATTTTATTAGATTTTTCAGAGGAGAGTGGCATGTGTGCTGACAACAATCACTGGTTAGGGAGATTTTTTAGGGAGTGGATCATAGTTAATCAGAATAAATTTGTCTCTCATACAATAATTATTGCATGAATTCATTTTTTATTAAAAAATATTAATTTATTGTGGACCATTAGCTTGTAGTTTTACATCAAAATATTATGATACATTTTATTATTTCTTTACTTTCTTTTTTTTAAATTTAGACTTTATTTGGGATGACATTCTTACTGCTTTTTAAAATAGTTTTTTAGTACAAAAATTAAATTTTTTATATTAAAAAGCTGCTTTAAGAAGCAGTAAAAAAGTCATCGCAAATGAAGCCTTAGTCATAGTTTCTATTTCATTGATGTTTTTTTGCTTTCAAGAAATTTATGTGATGATGACCTCTGATGTTAGCATACATGGAGGGCGTTGGTATTGATTCCAAATAGACTCTAAAGAAAAATAAACATGTTTATTTAATAATTTAGGCATTGTTAAAGGCGGATTTTTTTCTATTTCTTAAAGTAGCTTTTAGTACAAATATTTTTTAAATTAAATTTTTTTTACTAGAAAACAATTATAATAAGTAATGAAAAATATGTCCCACACAAAGCCTTAATGTGAGATTTTTTAATAAAAAATTATTAGTACAATAAATTTGATACGTCATGCAAAAATTAGCTTGATTGGGCACGAATCTCGAGGCAAAAGCTAGTTGGGAACTTCAAAAATTAAATTCGTGAGCATTTGAACTCCGATTTCAGCGAGCTTACAGTCAAACTGAACGTCTCGGAAATACGAACCCAACGACACCAAGATCAACCCAATCCGAGCCCAAATGAGTCCTTTTTTTAGGACCGTTTAGGGATCGAATTGGAGCCAGCGGGACGCATTGCCTACGCTCAACCACTGAGCTGCCTCACACTTCCCTACGAGAGACTTTTGATTGCTTATTAGTACAACCCCTAAGCCTTTCTCAGTCAACAGCTGAGGATCTGATTGCAAGTGCTCAAGTTGAACAAGCTTGACACTGAAACAAGATTTTATTTATTTATTTTCTTAGCCCCAATCATTTATTTTTTACAGTAACATTGCACTCAAATTAAAAAAAGTTGACTATTAGAGTAAGTGGAGAGGTCAATGTTGGTAGTTAAAGGTGTAAGGATATTCTCTTAAGAGCAATATTCTGCAGCCTAAGTGCTGTCATGTCAAAAGGCAAAGTTAGAGAGAAACAAAGAATTGTAGATGGAAAATATATTTATAATTTATATGAATATATAAAAAAGATTGTAGAGCAAAATATTTATTTTGGAAATGACCCTCAGCCCTCAACTTGCACCTTGATTCCACCACTCATTATTAGTGCGATAAGATTGGCTCTTCCACCACTTAATCAGCGAATGGGATTCAGCTGTGACACTGACCTTATTGCCTGTTAATAGGATTTCTTTGTGCCTTGATTTGCTGTGAAGTAGTGCAGTGCGAATGCTGGGAACAAAAACACTGATGGTGATGTCCAGCAATAAAATATTCAGTAGGTATTGAAAGCCTCCACCATTTCTGTAATTAGAACAATAAATAAAAAATGAATGAGATTGGAGAGAAAAAGATATTCCATTTCTCTTAAATCTTTCGATATCTTTTCCCGTCTACCTCCTTTATGTTCACCAACAATAGTGCGTAATAGCCATTGAATATTACTACGAGACCCGCCGTTGCTTAGCTCGTGTGGGAAAGAATCGGTTGGACAAAGCCTAGGTCTCAGGTTCGATCCCCATGGGCGGCAGCGAAAGCCTTAAGTGTTGGCCCGGACTAATTGGTGTGCGTAGTTTGCTAGGTCGACCGGGGTTTATAACCCACGAAGCGGGTTGGTTCCTCCTCACAAAAAATATATATATTACTATGAGTTTTATGTGTGTAGGCAGTTCTTTTTTATTTGTTGATTGAGAGTTTTGACTATCAAATAAGACTTAGCTATTTTACTGCTTCTTAAAGTAATTTTTTAGTTAAATAATTTCAATTTTTGTAATAAAAAATTGCTTTAAGAAATAATAAAAGAGCCGTTTCAAACGAAGTCTAAGATTTAGTTTGGGACAGTTTTCTTTTGGATTCTTAAAACAACTTTTTAGACAAAAAAATTAAATTTTATTCTAGAAAGCTACTTTAAGAATTAGTAAGAAATCAGTTCCAAACGAAGCCTAAGAGGCATTGGGTTTGAGTCTTATTTGTGTATATGAGTTTGCCTTAATTGATCTAAATGTCTAAAAAAAAGTTTGTGTAAATGGCATTAATATTTCTGTATAGATATAGCTAAACAAGCTTCTTAATCATTATTTATTTTTATATTGAGATTTTTCATTGGTAAATCTCTATTACTCAGAGACCTAGCCCTATTGCAATCCTTCATTAATATTACAACTTTTGTTTTTGCGGGAAGTAAGAACTCTAGGCCACGGTCATCCAACATAGAGTTCTTCCTTCCCGCAAAAACAACTCACTCAACTCCTCCTCCTAAGGTGATTCAAAACCCCAACATAGGTCGCCAATAACCCAACAAATCTGCCTGCACGACAGTTATTAATGGACTCACTCAAGAATACTCACTTGAACCTTCTCAACAACATAAGAGATAAATCATCAAAGCCATATCGCGCCATCTCCTTCAACCTTTTATGAGACGACATGTGTTTAGGACAATATATATTAAGAGCCATTTAAGTCAAAGAATTTTTTATTCTTTCACATGTAACATTTCTTATAACCCTAAGATCCATATAAATAAATGGTGAAAATAAGCCTTTTAAATCTTTTAACAAATTGAGATTCAGAGTCTCTTGAATATCTATTTCAAATTTTATTTAGTAAATTATTTTCTCTCCATTCTGACACGGTAGCAAGCCACCTTTTACAGAATTCCAAGTCTCCATTCAATAAGAACATTCCTTCTAATGTACTACAGATTTTTTAAACTCAATGTCATACGCTGAAAGTTTAAAGATCACATGCGCTTCAATTTCCAACCATCTGGCCGGTTGGGAGGCAAGATTGCTGTCTATTGCTGGGAGACTTCAATTTATCAATTATACTATTTGCAACTCTATCACCTATTGGATAAGGGGAATCATGCTTACAAAAAATTGCATAAAGAGCCTTAGTAGAATGTGCTCCAGATTTTTATTTTTTGGAGATGTGGAGGCCAGAAAATTTTTTATGATTGCGTGGAAGAAAACTTGCAAACCTAAGCAGTTGGGGGGTTTGGGAATACCGGACCTTCTTAGTTTACAATTTTCCAACAGCTGCTCTCTGGTTTTCAGATTTTATAACTCCAATTCCATGTTTGGCAAGTTTTTAAAGGTTAAATATGGCACCCCTTGGACCCCGGCTATAAACAAAACGTCTCTTATTTGGAGTGATATGGGTAGGGTGGCCTTGCAAATTAATTCTATTATTCGTTTTGGTTTCAATCGGAATAGTATTACTTCTTTTCTTTGGGATCCTTGGCTCTTTGGGAAATCTGTTATGACAGTATTCCCCAGCTCCAATTTAGATAGCCTCATTCCTTTGCATGCCATGGTTTCTGATTATTTGAGGGATGATGGCTGGCTGTTGCCTGCTGTGGTTTCGGACACTATTGCAATTTCATTACAGCATTTTAAATTTAACCAGGAAACAAATGGCACTTTATTTTGGCAAGACAGTAATAAGGCATGTTTTTCCTCCTTCATTAAATACTATCATAGAGAGGAGGCTAAGGTGGATTGGTATAATCTGGTGTGGCACAAACATTTTGCTGTTAAATACTCTTTTTATACCTGGTTAGCTATTAATAACGGGTTGAAAACGGCGGAGGAACTTTTAAAAAGAACAATTAGGGTTCCACAATCCTGTTCTTTATGTTTTGTTCATTCTGAAACTACTGGGCATTTACTCTACGAATGTGACTATGCTTTCTCTGTTTTGCAAAACCTGATTCCTATGGTGAGAGGGTTTCTGTTAAGGCCAAGACTCATTCAAGTCTTAACTCATTTGGGGGAACAAAAACATTTGATAAAAAATCAAAAAGAGTTGTTGCTGCTCACGGTCTGTTGTGCCACTTATTTTATTTGGAGGGAAAGAAATAAAAGGAGGTTTAACTTTAAATCTCGAAGTTCTACTACTCTTTGCCAGGTTATCAAAACTGCAGTTGAGGCAAAATTAGCAAACTGGAAGCATACTGAAAATTTGAGAATTTCTTGGGCTGGTTAAGAATTTTTGTATTGTGCCATGTTCTTCTGGCTGGAGATTTGTTACAGAAAAATCTTTTTGGCTGGGTTGAGTTTGCTGGTGGGAGGACTTTTGTTTGGTATCGGCTTTAAGCAGGAGGCTGCTACAGGATTTATGTTTATTGTTTTTTTGTTGTGGGGATGTTCAATTTGATGGATAACGGGCAAGGACGATGATGTAGCTGCTAATCATCTCCTTGGAGGGCCTTTGTCTTTTTGGGCAACCAGGAGATTTCTTTTTTCGTGGCAGCCGGTTCGACTTTTTTCCGAGTTTAGCAGTCTGAGTCATTCTGATGCTTCTGCATCTATTTTGTGGACTTTGTCTTTTTGGTTTCTTTCTTTTCAACGGGGGGTATAGGTTTTTGGTTCTGCTTCTAAGCTGGAGGTTGAACCTTTTTTGTTATACCTTACTTGTAACTTTTCCTTACATAGTAATATATGGGCTTTGCCCTCATTTTCCCCAAAAAAAAACAGAAGAAAAAAAAAAACAAAAAACAAAAAAAGTGTGAAGACTTTAACAAATTATTTTGCCAGTCTGAAAACTGCACATGACCTACCTTTTCCATATAACTACATTGAACACAAGAGAAGGACGATTCAGGCTTGTTGCTCTGCAATCCTGCTTGGCTTACTGTGGTTTTGGAATATTTTTAAAAGTGAAATGATTTTCTCACCTTGGAAGTTTCTAATAATTGACATCTAAATAAATATAAGCATTAGTACTTCACAATTGAATCACAAATAAAATACTATCAAATGATTAGTGCGCATCCCGAATCATAAGTAGTTTTTGGATGATTAAGATTTTATTTGGAATAACTTTTTTACTATTTTATTTTTTAGATCTTAATTGTAACAGCCCGAACTCTTAACTATCGAGTTATTGTCCACTTTGACCTAATAGCCTCACGATTTTGTTCTTTTGGAGTAACTTCCCAGTAGGCCACCAATCCCAGAATTGCTCTTAGATGAGCACGCTTAACTGAGCTGTTATTACGTCATCCGACCGGATGCAGAGGAACATCCGGTCCTAGGCAAAAAAACGCCTGTATCGAGGTGTACCGAGTTTTTTCAAAAAACTCGGTACACCTCGATACATGCATTTTTTTGCCTAGGACCGGATGTTTCTTGCATCCGGTCAACCGAACCAAATAAAAGCGCCGCTTAACTACTGAGTTTCTTACAAAAATTTTCAGTCATTACACCAAAAGGCGCCTCGATGTTTAGTGTTTAACTTTTCTTTACTTAAGAGGTTTCACAATAATCATAAATTTTATTTAATCAACATTTTTTTTACTATTTTCAAAAAAATTTATGTTACAAAGCTATTTTTTACAACAATTTTAAAATATTATTTTCTCTGCAATAATTTTACAACGAAATAAAAAAACTATCCCAAACAAAACCAAAATATTTGATCACTAAGAACACAGCAGTAGATGCAAACAGCCGAGCATTTCCCAGCAGGATGCTGAACAGTTGCGAAAGAAGAATAGGATAACTCAGGCAAGCATTATTATTCCTTCAGAGAAGTGTTTAACAGAAAGGAACCCCTTTTCCACAAGATTGACAAGAGTTGGCTTTAGAAAATGAAAGAAGGCGATTTAGGCTTCGTTTGGGAAAGCTTTCCTACTGCTTCTTAAAGAAGCTTTCTAGTACAATTTTTTAAATTTTTGTACTAAAAAATTCTTTAAGAAACAGTAAGAAAACCTTCCCAAACGAAACCTTAATTTGTTTGCCTAAGCATATACTACTTACTATTCACCCTTTCCTCTTGAGAACAATTTTCTAAATCCCCGACCATGTTTCTCAGGCAAGGCATTGGAAGGCGACGAAGAAGAAGAGGACCTATAAACCTTCTGTTTTTGATGCCTTGGGGTGATAGGAGACTTACTGAAGGGAGTTTGTTCAGTGTCAGATAAGTTCATGTGAGAGTTGTATCCATTTAATGGGGATTCTCTGCTTGAATACTCTGTTACAGAAGTAATAAGATTTTCTGGAAATGTGTGATCTGGATGCAGAGGGCTAAAGAGCACTGGAGGTTTTAAGCAACCAGCATTTCTTTCATCTTTCAAGACAAAATCTATCAATTGTAAGCTGTTCCTTGTGGAGGAGTCCATTTGCTCTGCCGGATTTCGCATTGCATGAAGCTGTCGACCGAGATGAATTATATTCTCTTGACACTCTGCAAGCTTCTCCGCTGCTGCTTCTATCTCTCTTTCCTGTGGACAACAGTTATAGTTGGACAATATTTCTATTAAATATTTAACATTAAAACTAAGGGAATTTTACATAAATACCGCTTTATTTCATGCTATTCATATATCTAACACTCAAAATATTAATATTACATGCTTATCACCCATATAAAATTTCAATATCAAATATATCACTCCAATAATTCATTTCACCATTCATATCATCTTATAAACTTCAATATTTCATTCCATGCACCTAAATTTGTTCTATAGGTGGTAGGCATGCAATATTAATGTTTTAGATGTTAGATATGTAAATAGAACAAAATAAAGCTGTATGTATGTAAATTCATGATACATTAATCCAAAAACTAGGTGAACAGGGTAATCAATTAAAGGCACGCTTCAAAAAGAAAATAAACAGCTATCAAACAATAAAAATTAGTCAACTTGGTACAGATTGAAATAATACCATATGAACATATTTGATAAGGAATCTAGAAAGGAAAATACACTGATACTTGAAAAAAGTGAAAATAAAAATTTCCAAGGAAGTTTTCAAAAAAAAAAAATAAAAAGTAAAGGGAAATTTACATACATACCACTTTATACCATTGTATTTATATATCTAACACTCAAAATATTAATATTACATACATACCACCTTATATTATTTTAATATCAAATATGTCACTCATATTTTCTTTTTACCACTCTTATAATTCATTTCTACCACTCATTTGATATAAAAATGAATTATGGGTGATATGTATGTAACATTAAAGTTTTAGGTGTTAAATATGTAAATATACTATGTATGTAACATTAAAGTTTTAGGTGTTAAATATGTAAATATAATAGTATGTCTCCACCTAGGCTCTTTTTTTTGTTACTCGATCTCTTTTTTTTTTAGGCTCTAAAACGTCTTGCATCAGAAGGCATTATAAGAGTTTAAAAATAAATAAATAAAAAAGAAGACATTATAAGGGTTCAATAAAATCAAGAATGAAGAAAGTATTGATTCAGTGAAAAGTTAAGCACTCTATAGTTACCCTTTAGACAAGAATTGTAGGACGAACTTTAACAAGGTGTGTGTGTGTATATATATATATATTATTCCCTTCAAAATCTGAAGAGATTTAAAACAAAGGAGAAAAAAAAATTCTTGCCTTTACCTGCTGGGTCTTTGTATTGACGCCACCATAAGGAAAGGAGCTTGTTGAGCATTTCCTATTCCTTCATGCAATAATGAAAAGGAATATCAGTTGAGAAAATAAATGCAGCATTCATAAGCAGAGTACAACAAAAATGTTTCCTCTGTCATCTTATGTTGTACAGCACAAAAAAGGAAGACTGTAATCCCATAATAACTCTCAAAACCAAGGCAAATTATTAGGTGTGGACGCCGGACAGAGAAAATCCGAATTTCTCTCTGCCTATAATAAAAATGCAGCTGCTACAGTAACTGCACTGTAACTGTGCTTTGACTATTGGATGATTCTTTCTGTCCGGTGTCTGTAGCTAATAATTTCTCCAAAACCAAATAATTCAGGAAAGCATAATGCAAAGCGTAATGCTAACCTTTCTATTTGCACTTGAAGTTCATTGTATTTGACTATATTGTCCTGATGACTACGCCGTTCCAGCTGAAGCTCACTATCCAAGGTTTCAGCTTTTGCACGCCAATGGCCTACTTCAGCCTCTAGTTCCTCATTCCGGCGCTCCAACATTTTGTAGGATTCAGCCATACATTTCAGTTGAGTCTCGGCTAACCTGTTTGATTTCTGACAAGAAGCTAGTTCTGATTTAAACTCTGACAGTTGTTGATCAACTTCTGCCAAGGTAGACTTGGTCTGATTCAGCATTTCATTGCATCTAGCTAAATCCTCTTCAACTTTCTCTTTCTCCAGTTTCAGATTCTCGAAATCTCCAAATGAAAATGCTGGACACGTGGCCTGTATTCTGAAGCCAGCATCAAGAGACCCTTCATTCTCCAACAACGTTTCTTTATGCTGAGTTACTTGATTCTCCAACAACGTTTCCTTATCAATAAAATCAGCAGAATTACTCTCTCCTTCGTTGCCTTTCCAAGTTCCCAGTAGAAACCTCAAATTACAGGCTTCGTGCAAAATGCGGGTTAAATCTAAAAGAAAATCATGTAAACTTATTTTGTTGCGAATAACCCTATCTATATAATCAGAAAATTCCTCAATCTTCTTACGTTTCCCAATAATACCAGTAGAACTATTAGCTTGGATTTCTGCAACTCCTTTACATAGTGATACAAGAAATCCATGAACATAGGCAATGGCATTCTTCAAATCTTGGTCTGACACATTATTAAATTTTGTGCATGGGACGCAATTGTTCCTCGAAGAGATACCAACATCAATGATTTCATGGACATCTTGTTGACAAGATGATTGCTCACTTACATCCTCTGTGAATCCATTTCGCTCTATGACAAAAGAATGTCGGGGCAACGCTTCTCGAGCGTCCTGAATAATATGATCAAAATCTTCAAGAATTTTTTCCACATTGCTTTCATGGACGTGAGAATCAAATGTAGAAAGTATACTTGATTTAAGTTTCAAGAATGGAATGTCCACTTTTGAAGCAGGATCTGCAGTTGAATTTGACAAAGATTCAGAGTTTGCATTGTTTTCTTCTTTAGCATCTCCTTTCTTTAGACAATGATCCATAGGAAGGGTGTCTTCCTTCACAAGTTTAACACCGTCTGATCTGTTCATATCCTTATCAACTTCCGTCGATAGGCAGGCTAACCGTTCCATCTCCAAGAAGTCATCCATAAGCTCCAAATAATGCGAGTTCTCTTCCTTATCTTTCTTGTAATGTGAGAGCTCTGAGATTACTGCAGTAGCCCGTGAATCTGAATAATTCGTTTCCTCGTCAATGCCATCTTCAGATATGGAGGTCAAGCTAGGTGGATTGCTTTCATTTTCAAAGAGGACGTCCGTGCTAAATTTTGAATGGCTCTTCTGTTGGTTAAGAAGTAACAAATGTGCTTCCATGTTTCGAAGTTTGTTTGCATGTTTAGAACATATTTTTCTTGAAGCCTGTAGCTCACTGTTGCGGTCTGATAACGCCTCCTTAAGCATTTTCATTTCTTCCTCCATTGCCAGTATTTGTGCGCTGAGAAACTCATTTTCTTTTTGAACCTGCTGAAAATTTTCAAGCGTAGTGTCAAATGGCTGTGCATTGGAACCCTTAGCAGGAGACCATCGCAGTCTGTTATCCCCATATTCTCTGCCTAAATTTTCAACTTCTAGCTTCATTTGAGCTAATGCCGCAGGCCCGGGTAACTTCTTACGAACAAGACCACGCAACCTTTGGCACTCGGCTTCTAGCTTTGTAATCTTTTTGACATCTTCTAAGTGTTGCCTGTTTGCAACTTCAGCAGACCTCACACTCATGTTTTTTTCTTCATTACGGATCTCAAGCTCCTTGGTGACAACATGAAGTTCATACTTTATAGAACTTATTTCTCTTTCACATGATTCTATATTACTCTTCAACACCTCAATCTGAGCATCAGCTTGCGATTTTTCTTCGCTAAACTTCATCAGCAAATTGGAGCGTTCTTGAAGAGACCTTGAAAGAATGGAATTGTCAGCAGAAGCTTTCAGTAGCTCTTGCTCAAAATCATGGAGCTTTTCTTCTAGATCAGCCCTGACGATTTCCCACTGTTTTGTCTTTGTAATGATTACATCGTGTAACTTTACTTCACTTTCCTCCTTCACGTTCCGTAGCTGTTTCATGCACTCCTTTATAGCACCATCAAGATGTGATGATCTTTCTTCAGCAGCAAGCTTCAGCAATGTTGTATTTTCAAGCTGTTGTTTCAGAGCCAAAGCTTCAGCCTCGGCCTTTTCCCATCCTAAAACAAGAAGAATGGTGGGGCTCCATAAAATGAGGTGATTTGGACCATCAAATTAAAATTAAACTAAGAGAATCAGATAATTTCCGAAAATAATACATTAAAATTTACTATTCATGATTATTTTATGATGAATTCATCAAAGTAAATAAAATATTTTAAAATATCAAAGGTACCTGAGACTGCTTCTTCTGCTACTTTTGCGTGTTGCTTCACAAGATTATCCTTAATTATCATCTCTGATTGGGCTGAGGATAGTTTCTCATTTAGAGTCTTCACGAGATCTTGCAATCCTGAAAGATGAATATATGACTCAACAGAAATTTGCACATATTTCACACTCTTTGCATCATCCTGCAAAAGAAAAAAAGTTATCAAAAGCCATTAAGTTAACTATATAAGTAAAAACAATCTACCCATTTTGTTCAGAAAAGGAGAAAAAAAATTACAAAAGTCATAAAAGAGGCAACCTAAACATTGCTCAAAACCTGCCCACCATTATCTTCATATAGCATGACAAAATACTTTCTTATGCTTGAACATAGGAAAAGTAATCATCTTCATTTATTAAAAGATTGAACATTAATAAGTATGAGCCAAAAGGTATATTTATAGAAATGTGTACATGTGGTCAACCAAATAGTCACAATTTCTTTCATACAAAATTCAGACTCAACCTGTTCTGTTTGAGGTCCGGTGGAGGTAGATAATGATGCACTAACAAGATCAGCGGCAGCCAACGCCTTTTCCGATGGCTTCTTCTTCCAAGGCCAACTGCGTCGATCCATCATCGCCTATGACTCTAAATGGCAATTCAATAAGTATTTTTTAGCAGACAAAACAATAGAAGTTCTAATATATGAAAAAGCTTGGAAGAATTTTATAAAAGCATAGAAATTTTTAGTTTAGTTTAGTTTTTTTTTCCTCGTAGGGTAGCATTTGTTTAAGTCAACATACGTCCTTGTTTCAACTAAGTAATATACATCAAATTTTATGGAGATTGTCTTACCCAATTGTAATTTCCGTTTCTTACTCTTTGTAGTTTTGTTGAGGTTGCGAAGAAGTTCACATTAAAGTATGATGTCTTTGTGTCTGGGATTTCTAATACAAATTTTAAAGAATAAAAAAAAAAACATGCAAGAAGCACGAAAATAAGTAGCATACAAACTATTAATATAAAACAATTATCATTGTCTTTCCATGAAGAAAAAAAAAACAAAACAAAATTAATTGAGATGAAATCCAATTGCTTTCTACAAGAAATTAAAACTAAATTCAAAATCAAGGAAGCCACAAATGTTTTGAAAGCCTCGTCCTTAGTGAAAATCCTATAGTAATGTGATAGGACTTGATGATCAAAACATCACACAACAATAAAAAAATCATCAACTTACTCCAAATAGATCAAGAAAAAATATGAAGAGGACTGTATTTACTAATCTTCAAGCAAAGAAAGATAAGAAACAAGTTGATTCACTATTTGAGAGGTGAATCACCTCTCTCACAATTCCTAGCAACCACTAGGAACCCAAATACTTGAGGGTCATGCTCCCTTGGGGGAGGTAGGCCTTGTTACAGCTGGAACACCTCACTGAATTGTTGTAGGAGTGGCTGGACTATCTATGGAATATCCTTCTCTTTCTCCATGCTTCTCCCTCCTTCGAGGCTTTGGAACTCCACCAAGAATATCATCCTTACTCTCTAGATTTCCCTCACCATGGTCTTAAGAGAAACCCTAGTTTTGGACAGATTAGGATCCCCCTTGATCCTCACCTTCCTCCCTCTCACCACAAATTCCATAGTCAATACCTTTCAGTCCACCTTGGTTTCCCCCAAGGTTTGCTACAACTTCATGCCCAAAATTACATCTGTGCTCCCTAACTCTAAGAGAAGGAAATCCTCTCTCACCTGGAACTCCTGCAGTGTTATCATCAGAACTAGTTAGATGCCTCTACTCTTCTCCATCTTCCCAGTTCCCATCATCACCCCAAAATAGCCCATATTGACCAGCTTCAGCCATAACCAGTTTACCACATGGTTGGAGATGAAATTGTGTGTCGCCCCACTGTCCACTAGAACTATCACTGGTTCTCCTTCTATCTGTCCCCTCACCTTCATGGTGTGATATGAGATAAAGCCCACCGCTGAGTTCAAGAAGACCTCCACATTTAGGTGCAAATGCTCCCCCTCCTCAACCACCTCCTCCTCTTTATCATATACTATAAGTAGCTGTAGCAAACGATCCTTGCAGCAGTGACCCGATGCAAACTTCTCATCATAATGGAAACACAATTCCCTAGCCCGCTTGTCCTAAACCTTTGTCTCTGTCAGCCACTTGAAATTTACCCCAGACCGTGCTCCCAATCCCCGATCCTTTGGGTACTTCTCTCTAAATGGGTAGAGGCTATACCTTCAGTGTCAAAAAAGTAGTCGACGTCCAATATGAAGCTCCAAAATTGTTGTCCTTGATGCTTCTCTCAAGTGAGTTTTTATCCTCTTTCAACTGGGCTAGCTTCATATGCTCTCAAAACTCTTGTGGCCTCAATAACCGACAACGGCCCTGATCTTTAGCTTGATCCCATTCATGAAATTCCGCTCCAACACTTTATTAGATAGCCTCCCCAATCAGCTAGAAAGGTACTCAAACCTCTCTTAATAATCCATCACTATCCCTTCCTGAACCAGAGCAAATAATTGTTCATAGAAGTCTCCTTCATGATTGGTTCAAATTTGATCTCTCATGTCTCACCACTGATACCAAGACAACGCCTTCCCCTCTAAGCATAAATCCACCACCGTGAATCTTTCTTCCTCCATCAGCCCATTCACCACGAAGTACCTCTCTACCCTATAAATCCACCCATGAGCATCTTACCCCTAAAAAATGTACATTTTCAACTTTCTTACTCTCGGATTCCCTTTGCCTCAACTTCCACCTCTGGCTCCTCCCAAGTAGCGATTGTTTTGATCTCTCCATTGTTCTCTCTCTCCCCCACCCCCCTCTCCTTTCATTGATATCATCTTCCTCAAAATCATCCCTCCTCGTTTCTTCCTCCCAATTTCTCTTCATGTCATATCCTTCATGCATTTCCCTCCTGATTACCGGTTCAAGAGATAGCGTATTTTTCCGTCGCCTAAGATTTCTACCTCTCGATCATCCCCCATTATGCCGATCTTAGGGTTTCCCCCATGTCCTTGGCCACCCGTCAGAGCTCTCGCCTCCGGTGTTGTCGGTTGGGTCTGAATATCCAATATTTTTTTATCATGTCCTCTAGATTAGAAAACCTTCCTTCTATAGATGAAATTCGTTCCTCAACTTCAGATTTGAGTTGGTCAACTTCTCCTTCTAGTTTCTCTTCCAAAGCATTCACTTTCTTTGGCGCCATAGGTCTAGAATCGTGCTCAGATACCAATTTGATAAGACTTAACGATCAAAATAACACAACAATAATGAAAACAACAACTTACTCCAATTAGATCCAAATATAACACCAAGAGGGTTGTATTTACTAATCTCCAAGCAAAGAAATATAAGATATAAGTTGATTCACTATTCGAGAGGTGAATCGTCTCTCCCAAAATTCCTAATAGCTACTAGGAACCCAAACACCTAACAAAAACTGCAGTAAAAAATAAAACTCAACATATACCCTAACCCTCCACAATCTCTCCCCTTAAACAGCCCAAATCCCCTAATAAACGATCCTTACATCTTCCTCAAATATTTTCCCCCCAAAGCCTCTTCTCCTAAAGGTGATAAAGGAGGTCCTAGGCCCCACCTGGGCAGTAGGGCTGTTGTCTGCCTAGACAACTGGGCTGCCAGCAGCCGCATCATATTGACTTTGACAAAATACAAACAGCTTTCTTAAACTAATAATAAAAAAGTGGATGAAGAAATATTAGTAGGAAACGTCAATTTTCATTAGGCTCACCTAGTATAACATATATATGTTTTGTTCACCTCCATATTTTGGAATATATATACTTTTGATTTGAAATCTAGCCTCATATTCAAGAGTATTTTAATTTTCAATAGAAATTCATATTCACAATCAAGATTTGGATCATATCATATATTTAAAATTTAGTTCTTTATATGATATTTGGTTCAAAATTAACTCCAAATTTGGTAACTATTCGAAGATTAGATTCAAAATTAGTCTGGCACTCAAATTTAATTTTAGGCAAAAATTTCAAGTTTTGTTCAGATATATGTTTATTTTCTTTTTCAATAATAAATTCAATTTCTCTCAAAGATTTTAGATATGATTTTACGTGGAATGACATACTCAAATTGTAATTAAAATGTGACCTCATGTTCAAACTCAATTCTCCCAAATTTTGACTTTTTGTCAAGTATAAGTTCAGGCTTATATCTGGAAGTTTCTAAGAAAAAGTTTAGGTTCACAATCAAGCTAGGATTCAAGTTCTAATTTTAATTTAGGTTCAAACTCTACCGTAAGTTCAATTTGAATTGCAAGTTAGGTTTCTTAGGAATTGATCTCAATTTCAAATTCAAATTTAGGTTATAACTTTTGCTCAAGTATAGGAGTACGTAAATGAATAAATTATAACAGAGGTATAGATTTAGATGCATAATCAAATAAGTACTCTTGTTGTGATTCCAAATCCTCTTCTGCATTTGAAACATCATCGAAAAAGTCCAATTATCATCAAAAGAGTCCAATTGTAAATAACCATAAATATTCATCAAATTCACCATCAAAAGGATATTCATGAACTATAATTTTTTTAATAAGAACCGGATTGGTCATGTATGATTTTTATGTCATTGTATGTCGGATCAATTTAAGAGGAGAAGATAACGATTTTCTTATGAGAATGGTAACTATGGGTTGGTATCTCTAAGAGATCACACATATTATGTCTTAATATTCAAAGATCTGACTAATGTCTCACTTAGAGATTTTTGGTAAAATATAGTTTAATACAACCATAATTTCTTAACTAAGACCTCTTACAAAACACATTATAACAAACAAGTCAGTCTGGAGGCAAATCATGTCTAACTATAAGATTAATAAACCCATCATAAATGCAGACATATCAAAATTATTTTATTTCAGCCTTAAAATGATTAATCAATCGATCTTAAAATTCTTTGTATCGCATATATTATTCTTTAAGTATACATTTTATGTCAACCTATGTTGATTTCGTTTGACTTAAAATAGTAATGAATTTAAGCGTGTCTTTACTAATTTAATTTTTTCATAATCAAGCTAATAGTATTCTTTAAAGAAATATTCAAACTTTTGACCCATGCAAAAATATCTCTAGGTTATACCATCCACTGAATATAGACATGTAGTTTTAACATTCCTACTAGTTATGTTGTGTTTGTCTAGAATCATGGCTCACCTAATTTTGCTTAAAATGCATCTTTATTATTTTTTTATTGACCAGAGTATTATTTCCTACCTTAGTTGACATGATGATGCAACCATTGGCTCAAATATCAATTTGATGTAAGACAGTTAATGGTATAGGGTTTATAATGCAACTTAGAATGAGATAGAACATCAACAACATCAACACTTTATCCCACTAAGTGGGGTCGGCTACATCAATCTTTTTATCACCATTCTGTCCTATTAAGAGTCAAATTCTCATTAATCTAATTAAAAAATGATATTTATAATAGTTTCTAATCAAATCTTTTTAGGACTACCTCTACATTTCGTTACATAAGCCAGATCTAATACATCGACTCTCCTAACCGGATCATCAGAAGGGTGAATCTAGGTGTGTCAATTATTGACACAACCTAACAACCCGACC